TTACCGTATAGGCCTTTCTCTTTCTAGCATGGTAATTGCTTCACTGAGGTGTGTGAGCTACAAGGACAATAGAAGATTTGTTAGTAATTCATAAAATGTGGTCTTACATAACAAAATCACACAAGTGGCATCCATTACTTTTGCCATATTCTGTTAGTTAGAGACAAGTCACAGATCCTGCCTATTTGCAGGAAAGAGTAGATTGAACAGGTATGAAGAGGAGGCAGGCAAACATATTAAGAGTATTTTTGCCAACCTTTATATGCCAGTTTTCCTTTATCTGAGAATGTCTATTTCACCATCATTTCTGAGGAACATTTTCACCAAGTGTGAAATCCTGGGTTGATCATTCTTTTAAAAATATTTTCCCATTTCCTTCTGGTATCCATAGTTTTGTTGAGAAATCCATGGTAATTTGAACTGCTGTTTTCTGTATACATAATATATCCTTTTCCCTCTGGTTGATTTCACAGTTTTTTCCCTTTGTCTTTAGTTTTTTATACTTCGAATATGACGTCTGGTTGTAAATTTCCTAGGGTCTATTCTGTTTGTGGTTTATTCAGCTTCTTATATCTAATATAAAAGTTGAGACTTTTTCAGCCATTATTCCTTCAGTTTTGTCCTACTGTATACTCTTTTGTTGTTGACCTCTGAAGCTTGAGTGTTATACCTCTTTGTTTTGAACCATAGATCTTGGGATTGTTCACTGACCAGAAAAAAATTATTTTTCTCTCTCTTAAGCAGATTGAATCATCTTTATTGCTTTTCTATCTTTGGGTACATTGATTTTTCTCTGTCATCTCCATCCTGCTATTGACCTTCTAATGTGAGATTTTAATTTCAGTTATATTTTTTTAATTCAAAAATTTTCATTTGCTGCTTCTTGGTATCTTCTGTTTCCCTGCTAAGGCCCTCTATCTTGCTATTATTTGAAGAGTCATTGACTTACTTGTTGAAACATTTTTAGATAATTGCCTTAGAATTTGTCAGGTAACCCCAATATGTGTGTTAGTTTAGCATAATTCCAAAAAACATTTGGTGATTGTCTTTCCCTGTGCACGCTGAGATTGTCCTGGTACTTCTTATGTTGAATAACTTGAGATTACATCTTGGATATTTTGATTTAAAAAATATTTCCTTGAGATAATAATCATTGGTTGTATTTTTGGAAGTATAGGGCCTCTCCTCTTGCCCCCGCTGCCATCCTGGGCAATTTGAATATTATGTTATGAAATGCTGGGTCTTGTTTGACTCTTATGGAAAATGTTGATATTTTGGTTATAGTAGGCAGCTGATCTGGCTTGGGTTTAGAGCAAGGTTTGACCAGCTTTTAATGTAAGTTCCATTCTCAAAGTCTTGTGCCATGTTCGTCAAGTTTGTTGCACAGGTACACTATCTACTGTACAGGATATTGGCTGCGGTTCATATTGTATTTCATTCAAAGACTTTAAGGCCACATCTGCACACATGGAACTCAGGAGTAAATCCAGGAATTCATAAACAGTTCTGTGTGGTCACTTTCCTGAACAGCTCCTTCACTTTAATTTCAACAATACTTTTTGATTCCTAAGGCTATTTTTGGTCTTCCAATCAGAGAGCTAGGGCTATATCTCTCCTGCACTCCAAATAGTCTTCTCACTATTTCTCTCTACACTTTTCAAATACCATTCCGTCTGCCTGGAAATACCCCCCCTTCTGCCAATCTCTACATATCAAAGTTTGCCCTTCAAAATACTTTTCAGATGCAGTTAATTGCAAGAAAACTTTTATGTTGATGACTCCTTGCCTCCTTCTTACCCCATCTTGGCCATGTCCTTAAGTGATAGAAAACTGCCAATGCCTTGAAGGAAGGTGAAATGTGACTCTTCTGTTTAGCCTCTGCAGTACTTGGAAATTATCCCACTCAGATATTATTGTTGAATGATAGTAGATAGAATCAGGCCTCTGGTGATCAGAATAGGTGATTGCCATCTCTAGAAAGTCTCCCAAGGAAATGAGGGAAGGGCATGTTTATGATATAAGGATTACTGGCAACAGGGCACTTTTGGAAACCCCACTATATAGATGAGAACTGTTTTGTAAATGGGAGATTATCTGTGACATCACCTGTTTGTTTTTCCTTAAGTCTTAATACTTTGAAGAGTCAGGAAATAAGAAATCCCTATGAAGCATGAGATTCCAGGACTCAGTCAATAGTTGACAGCAAAAGTAGAAGTGTAAGATAATAGAAGCTGATACCACTTTCAGCCCATTCTTCTCCCCTTTGCAAAGCACTGAATGACAAGCAGATTTCTCAGTTCCAAGCAGGCAGTCACATTCACGTGACAAATGTGTCTCTGGACAGAGGAGCTTGTTGAGTGATATTTACCAGGGTCTCTGTGTAGGGCCCACACTTCAAGTCTTTGGCTGCTCTCCTATTCAGCTGACACTTATGGGTAGCCAGAGGAATAAAACTTCATTCTCTACTCTCCAGTAGGATGGCAGCCATGGTGATTTGTTTAAAAACTCAGAAGTGTCCTGGTTTCTCTCACTTCCTATATTCATTCACTCCCTACCCTAGTCAAACCCTAGCAGGTTTGAAGAAGCTTAGACCCCCACAAAGGGGTAAGGGAAGTCAGTGCCAAAGACCAAATCTGGGTTAAGTTCACTCTACCATTTGGTTGTCCTTGACCAAGTTCCTTGGCTACTCTGAATTCCACAGATACAAGCTGGAGCTGATAAGAACCTCCTCATAGGGCTTTTGTATAAATAAAATTAAATCCATATAAGAATACTTTGCATGCTCTAAAGTGCTCTCCAACATCATCATCCACTTATTTATTCAGCAATTCCTTCCTGTACATCTACTGTTAGCACAGGCACTGTGCTAACTTCCAGATGGTATGGGCCAGGAAGAAAAGCAAGCTAATGGCTTTATCAGCCATCATTGAGGTTCTGGGGTGGAAAACAGGGGGCTGGTCCAAAAATTATAACTCTGATGTCCCTGAGACTGTTACACTTTTTTTTTTTTAAAGATAGATTTATTTGTGCATACAGAACTGGGGTACAGGCCAGAGGCTCAGGGGCGGTGAGAGGCTTCACCATAGACAGAGTGGGGAGCAGAACAGGCAGATGGACGAAGTACACTGCTGAGGGGAGCAGCGGGTGGGTCAGGAGAGGTCTGCCACGCCATGTGGTCACCTCCGGGGTAGGCGGGAATCGAACTCATGCGGAAGTGGCTTTAGCTTCTCAGTGCTGTGCTTTAACCCGCTGCGCCACCAGGGAGGGCCCAACTGTTACACTGTTGATGTTTCTCTAGGGCTCAGCTCTTGGGAACCATTCCTGCTGACTAGGTGTTTGCATGACCTTCACTCCATGAAACATGGTCGAATTAGGATTCTATGCTCATTTACCAGGTGAATGACCCTGGGCGGTTCAGAGAAACAGAACCAGTAGGGGAATCACAGCCCCCTCCCCAACCCCCCCACAGAAATATAATTATGAAAGCTGAGAAGTCCCACATTCTTCATTCAGCCAGGTGGTGATGCAAGAAAGCTGTTAGGGTACATTCCAGTCCAAGTCCAAGTCTAAAGGTAGAAGACTGAAGTCTTACCTGAAGAACATGTTTTTGTTCTATTCAGTTGAATGAGGCACACCCACTTTAGGGAAGACAATTTGCTTTTCTCAGCCTATCAATTCAAATGTTAGAGCCTGAAACTCTCATAGACATATCAGAAGAATGATAAACTAAATATGTGTCTAGAGATGGAGAGGAGAGTACAGTAAAGTCCATACGTTGTATTTTTCATCAGACCATGTTGAGGTTCACCTAGAGTGGTCAAGGTTACCAGGCAGCTTCACATGTTGCCTCTCAGGTACATGGCAACTCAGTGAAGTATTCCTTGTCTTTCTTTTGTCATGAAATCCTGATATCACAGGTTCATCATCTCAGTCATTTGAGGCAGGTCATGTTCACCTGAAACCAAAATCTCCATGTGCAGGACCAATTCCCTCTGGGGAAAGTCTGTCCTTTCCCGACCCATCTTCCCAGCATGTGAGTGTCTTTGATGGCCAGGTTCTCTGTATTCTTCCACACTAGTCCTTAGTCAAATGAAACTTTAAAAAAAAATGTGGTGCAGGCTGAGAGTTACCTGTGGACTAGATGTCACTCAGCATTTCCACAAAGTCTGAACATAATTATCTTGCCAAGCAAAGCTAAGCACTCCATGCAGAGTCTGCCTCTGTGTGTTTGGAGGGTCGTGAGGGCCGGGGGGTGGGAGGCAGTGCTCCCGGGGCGTCTGTCTTGGTCTCACTGGGCCATAGTCCCAGCCTTTACCTTTAATAAGCTCTTTGTCATTTCAGTTCTGCTGATGAATCAAGACACCCCTGGTATTTCTGTTTATTTAACACTGTGAGTTGTCTGTTACAGGCTATCTATCATAGGGGAAACATGGATTTATTAATTAAAAAAATTGTAACATACTCATGTAGAACTTGGAAGATGGACTTCATTTAGCAACGTTTCTCAAGCCTCTGCTTCAACAGTGCCCCCTCTACCTGGCATTGTGTCCACTGTGTGTGTCTGTCTTTTCATCTGGAAAATGCCCTTTTAGGCTGAGTGCCTACAAACCTAGCATGGTACCTGGCACATGGTAGTTGCTTAGTTACTGTTTCTGGAATGGTGTGGAATGGAGTTCATGCTAGAAGGATTGCACAGCCTCTCACTTGAGCCAGCCCACCACGGACACAGCAACTGTTTCTTGCTGTGCAAGATGCAGAGATCACAGGTCCCCTTCTGCAGGGATCACAGCTGAGGAGGGTGATGGCCAGAAACTGCCAGCCAGGGTGCATCTCCAGAAAGGCTAGTCAAAAGAGAACCACAGAAAGCCCAAGGAAGGTGCAGGGAGACACTGGAGGTACTTTGCCACAGGTCTGTTGGACCATGGAAGGACTTGGGACCTTCACACTGACATCAATGCCTGCACTTTCTCTGACTGACTTTGTGTGCAATCTCTCTGCAGAGCCTGTGCCAGCAGTGAGACAGAGAGTGAAGCCGGAGACCTCATGGACCAGCAATTTGAAGAGATGAACAACAAACTGAACTCAGTTACCGACCCTACCGGCTTTCTGCGAATGGTTCGCCGCAATAACCTCTTTAACAGGTGAGTGTGGGCTCCACCTCTCAGGCCCAGTGCAGGCAGGGCGTCTCAGGCAGACAGTGGGCGTTCAGCTGATGTTTCTCCCAGCGGCCAAGGCTTCTGGCCTATGTGCTGTGTTGCAAAGGTGAGCACGACACCACCTCATGTGCTCCCCAGGGCGGTGGCATCAATGTGACACTTCCTGGTCAGGTGACAGGCTTGATGCTATGATCCACATTTGGTTGTGATGGGAGATACAGGAGCAGGCAGGCCTAGAGTTGACTTGGGTGTGGAAGGAGAGCAGAGCTATGCCCTCTTTACTGGTAAGTCATGGGCCGTGTACCTGTATTGATTATGCTAGCCTGAGTCGGAGGGGCTCAGGGAGCATGGGACACAGCATGGCAAGAGGAAGAGATGGCAGACAAAGGTACACCCTTCCTCTCTGGAACCTGATCTCTCCATTACTTCCCTAAATAGGCTTCAGTGGCTTTAAGATGAGCTGAAGTTAAAATTGCCAACCAGCCCGGCCCAGCCCTGCCTCTTTCTCTCAGGATGGCAGCTAAGCTGCATCCAGATAAAGAAGACCAGGCAGTTGGAGTGGAGGGTGGTGTCACTGGTGTCTTGACAATAACACTTGGACAGCCCTTTCCAGAAAGACAACCTACATTCTCTCAGGTCCCCACCATGGCCCGAGGGCCTGTCTTTAAGGGCAGCAGATGAAGCCTAGAACATAGGAGGGACATGGCTGTGCGCTGGGTGGGGCATTCTGTGCCTGTTTGTCCTACTCTGGCCCCAGCTTCCCCTCATTACGATGCTGTCAGGGTGACAGACGTGTTTATTTTCCCAGGGGTGAACTGGCTGGGAAGGAGCCAAGGGCAGCTTGGTTGAAAGGAGGCCAAAGCTGATTCATGGCCTCATGTTCAGTTGTCTGTCTCACCCCTTCACAGGTGCCCCCCTGGCTTGTAGTTACATGTAGGGACATGAGCGAGTGTGGGAGGTGGGTGCTGAGGCTCCACTCCCCCAGACTCAATGCTTGGGTCACAGGCTCTGGTCTGCCCACTACCAGCTGGGTCACTGTGTGAGGCCTATTTCATGCTGCCAGCTCAGTTTCCTCATTGTAGAAATGGGGACAAACTTGATACCTTTAAGGGTTCCCTTCATGTGGGGATTAAATTCAAACTATAATAGCAGGCTTCCTAATGCTTCAGAGACACTAAATACATGAGTTTCTACTGTTTTGAATAAAGGGGTAGGACAGTACTGAATTTAACTAAGGCAGCATGATGGGTGAACTTAGGAAGGGGTGGAAATTGTATGGGCCTGTGCAGCCAGCTGGCGTTAGTCTCCTTGGGTTGTGGCCTCAGTGATCCTTCCTCTTCCTGTTCTACCACATGTCCTGCATACAACAGTGCTAAGGGCAGATGATCAGGTGGTCGGGACCCCCTGTAGTAAGGTACACCAAGTCAAACCCCCCCCCCGGCCCCAAACCTCAGGCACCACATAAAGTGAGGCATCAAGTCATGCCTGACTGGGATCCAGGCCTTGTACCGACTCGGTGATTTTTTTGTAGATTCCTGACCTAGGGCTTGCAGGGTCAGATCCCCTAGAGCCATGGGGGTGCAGAGGAAGCAGCCTTGTGTGCTAGAGCAATGCACCTCCCCTCTTTGCCACACTCTGTCCACACGTCCCTTGGCCCTGTGTTGCTGGGTCAGGGCACTGGGCTGGTTTGACAACGAGGCTGTTGCAACTAATCCAAGTCAAGCAAAAACTGGCTTAAAGTTTTCTCTCTGGTCACTTCAGGAACTAGCTTTGCTCTGCCTTTGTTTTTTGAGGTCTCTGCAACCACTTTTTTCTTTGTGCCTGTGCACTTTGGAAGAAAGCGCATGTGCATGTCAAGTTCAAGCAGGTTCCTTAATGAGGGATAACAAGGGCCCTTCTCTCGTTTAACACTTTGATCCTGGTGTGGCCACACAGAGCAGAGCAGGAGCCCTCCGAGGTTTCTGTCCTGATGCTTTGGGAGTTATGTGAGGACTGAAGGAGGGTATCTGTGTGTGGCTCTATGTGCTGTATACCCAGATGGTAATGGTATGAGGTGTGTGCCTGAACCTGGTAGCCATCAGCAAGCCACATTTATTACTGAGAGGAGGGAGATGGGACAGGCTTACCTGGATTCCCGGTCCAAGGTACCTTGGTATGGGAGGTGTGTCCATCCAGGACTAATTACGACCCACATTCCAAAGAAATGTTCTGGCTTCTGTTATCAAGAATTTTTAAAATCTCATATGGCTTGTATGAGTGGAGAGGGACTTTCCTGTTCTTAGAGATTGGTGGCAAGAAATACAAAAGGTAAAGATGTGTAAAGTGCCCTGCTCTAAAGAGACATGCCACAGTGGGTAAGAACCCTCCCTGCCTCCCTGAAGTTTCTTGGACTTCAGCCAGCACCTCAGCTCCTCCATCCCCTATCTGCATCTAAAAGATGGAGTGGAGGATTCTGCAAGGGAGACCCCTCTTGAGTCCCTCAATAGAAATCACTCACACAAAAATCTGGGGACCTGTAAGAAGAAGGGAAAGAAGCCACCACTCCTTGGGGCCATCTTCTCCAATTGTGGCCTGGAGAGAAGAGATTGAAGGGGAGGGCAGGTGAGAGCGGCCCACTGTGACCTTGTTTCCCTGCCCACAGGTGGGTTGAGTGGACAGGTGCCCTTCTTAGTGCATAGGTTGCATGGCTCAGTCACTTGTTGACTCCCCCTCCAGGAGGCTGCCTGCTGGGCAGAGCACTCCCAACAGGATTACCGGGTGCAGCCAGCACAGGCCATAGTACCCTCACCCCAGGTCAGACCAGGTTGGATTTCTCTAATCCCCCAGGCTCTGGCGCCCTGTGTCTGGGAATGCCACAGAGGGCCATCTTGGCTCTCAGAAGCCAGGGAGCCTGGAGCGGGGCTATCAGTGGTGTCTGCCTTTTCCTGCCTGTCATGTTGGCAGTTGGGAGTAGTGCTCCCAGAGCCCACCTGTCCTCCGAACCCATGAGCGAAAGCCTGCAGTGGAGATGGGTGGGATGCGGTGTGCACCCATAGGAAGCTTGAGCTTCTAAAGATGTGGGCAGGAGTGACTGGAAAGAAAGGTGTATATCCTCACAGGGTCTGTCCAGCCCCTGAACTGGAAACTGGGAGGCCTGTGGCCTGCTCCAAGTTCCTGCCACGTGTGCATCTGTGGCGATGTGTGGCTCTGGGTCTTTATAAACGTGTCACTCCTGCTCTAGCCTGCAGCTGTGCATGGATTGTAGACCGGGCGTACAGGATCCTGCGGGCTCCATTTATCCCCATGTTCCCTGGTCTTGGCTTTGTCCTGTGGTGAGTCACGTAGCGGGCAGAGGAACCCTGGGCTTTGGGGCAGGCAGACTTGAAACCTGCCTGACTCTACTTTGCACTAGTAGGTGACCTTGAGCCATTTTTTTCTTACTGGGAAAGTAGGAGTAAAATGCTCCTGATGGAGCGGCTCTAACAGGTGTGATGACGAGCGGGTAGAGCCTGCTGTGTTGTAATGGTGCTGTCTCTTCTGGCACTGTGTCTGAGGTTCCTGCGGCACTGCTTAGTGGGGTATATCATTCACGTTTCAAACCAGATCTCCCCCTGCAGCCTGATAGAGACATACAGCTCGGTGCTGCCTCCCCTTGCCGCCCCCTCCCTGCTCACCAGATCCCAGAGACTTAATCCATGCAGTGATGACCCTACTGGGTATCAGTCATAGCAGCAGCCCAGCTTTGAGCCCGAGGTTCCACACTCAGCTTCTGGCTGGGTCCTGTGGCCCTGCCCTCTGCTCTTCGCTGGTGGTCTCATGCCTCCAGGCCAGGACTCTGGCCTACCTTCCTGCTCTCCCAGACAGGGTCTCTCTAACTCTGACCTGAGCCAGCCGCCCCATTGGTCACCTCCTCATGGTGTTGGTTCCAGGCAGAGACCGTCCCTGCCCCCAGCTGTTCCAGAGCTGCCCGCGGTGCCTGGGCCTCGGGCAGGTGAATCTGTCCTGGTGTCATCTGTCAGAAGGCGCCGCTGGTGCTGCCTCTCCACCGTGGGCTGTGCCGTGCACCACCTTGCGGCGCCTTCCAGGCCCACAGCCTGGGTGCCAGCACAGGTGCTCACCCGGCTGTGCATCTCTCCAGACAGTGCAAATGCGCTGCAGGTGTGACATTCGAAGTACCCAAATCAAGCCCACCGGGGTGGTGACAAGTTTTTTCGTGATGCAAAGGATTCCCCACAGTTTTCATCTAATATCAAGCTTGCCAGTATATTTTAAGGCATGATTTAATTTATAAATAATGTTTTCCTTATCCCTTGTTTATATATTCACTTTCTTGTTCCAGAATTTATTTAATACAATTTACCAAAACATACAGCTGCTACCAGAATAATAAATGTATAAAAAAATAGAGGGAAAAGAAAAGTAGAACAAGGAAGTTTATATAAAATACACGTGCTGCCAGCGCTGCTGGAGATGGGCACAGAGAGCCTCGGAGGCCCAAGCCCAGACCTACCCATTTGATCTGTGTTTGAACCAAGTTCCTGGGTGCTTCGTGTGGAAAGGAAGGTCTGGAAAGAGCTGTTTTGTCTGAAGCTGCACCTTCTGCATCCCTCTGGCTCTCAGGCTACACACTGTCCCTGCAAATGCAGTTTGCCAATGAGACCCTCGGGTCACCCAGTAACATCTCTGCTCTCCTCTCTACTTCCGCTGTCATGTCTTGAGGCCCCCACCCTGAACTCCCCATCTAGTATGACCCTAGGAGCAAGCTCTGAGGGTCGCTGATGCTCAAGGTTATTCCGGAACCTCCCAATTGGTGGTGTAGAGCTGGGCTCCACCCATCCTGCACTCCTTTTGTCAACACCCCCCCCCCCCCCCCCCGGCTGGGCCACTGGTTCTGCCCCTGCCGGTGCACAGTGCTGATCTCTCACACACAGGGCCACAGGGGCCCCAACGGCTGCAAGTTGAAGTAGCAGAGCTTGCTGTTCAAATCCTGCCCAGTCCTGCTGGTC